GCGTAATATTTTACAATGAATATTAAATTTGTTGGTACAATAATATTAAAATCATAATTCTTGAATAGTTTTCTAGTAAAAATAATAAATAAATAACAGATTCGTTTCTTAAAACACGTATTATATACTTATTATTTATTTCTTTTTTAAAATACAAAATTATATAACAAATTAATATAGAATATTAAAAATAATATTAAAATTTAAAAATGTTGGTTTTAGTGATTAAGTAATTATAAATTTGAAAGAAAGTTCATAGTTAAACTTATCAAAACTGTTACTATGTCACTGATCTCAGTAATAATTAATTGATTAATGTTTATAATCATTATGATTAGTATTAACGGCTAATTATGAACGTAATTACAGAGTAATAAATTACTACCGAATTTCGTTATGGATAACTTACGAAACAATTTCGCCATAAAGCTTTCCTATTGGTACACATTCGTAATTTTACCGTGGTTAAACAAATCTTGGAAAATTACAGAAAAGGATAAATTGTAAAAAGTAATAACTCTTCTAGAATAAATTACTCATAAAATTATTTGATATAAGTATTGACAAGTGTAATTGTTAACCGGAGATGACAAATATACTCGTAATTTCTATTTCTTCTTATCATAACTGATTCTCAATTTTCTCATTTATTTATTTACAGATAGTTTTATTAAAGTATGTCATCATATACGTTAGAAGCTTCCAGAACAATATACGGATTTTTCTGAAACATACTACCCTGTTCAAAAAATTTCAGGACATGTCAAATAAAACACAAACTCATCATTTATTCATTAATTTCTATTTTGTCACCTTTAAAGTAATCTCCAGTGCTTACAATACATATTTTCATTCTTCTAAATATTCTAAAACTCAGTTTCTGTTTTATCACCTCAGTCAATAGTTGTTTTAATCGAAAAAATGCAAAAAAGTCACAGAGTGCCCGGTCTGGTTTAGTCGTGAACCAAAAAGTTACGAATAAGCACTGAGGTGTGAGTCGGTGCGCTATCATGATGCAAAATTCAGGTGTTACTTTTTTATCGATTCTCAACTTTCTTCAAAGAGTTCGTAATGTTCGAGAATACGCGACCTCAATAAATAATTCTCCCCGAATGTTTTTTGCAACATCTTGAATGTCATGTGTAAAATATCACCTTTTGCAGTGAAAGCCAACTTTATTAACACAAAATGAAACTGTAAAATGAACTTCCTTTTTTTAAACTGACAGGAAAACTGAAAATAAAGGAAAGATACATTTTTTTCCTACTCATAACGCGCCTGCACAGGGCAAAATTCACCCGCGATCACCTTTTACTTCTGGGTTCGATCGAGGTTAGTTACTAGACCAATCAACAAAATTATAATTTTCATAGAAAAGAAGATCGGGCTCACACGCAATTAGAACCGAGCGCATATTCATTTCTATGCACGCTGCACACGTATGTACTTATGTAGGTATGTACCTATGTACATCCAAGCGTTTTTCTTCCATAAAATAGACCATACGTCGTTGGAGACGGTGATGGGCGGTCGAGAGTTGGGGAGTGAGGTAGACCTCCTTATTTTGTAAGGCTCAGAGACATTTCGGCTGCGCCTTCTTGACAGGAAGTTTGTTTGATTTGTCTTGTTCGCAACCGGCAGCTGAGTGTTTTGTTGTTTGCCTTCCAGTCAAGATACTTCTCCTTCCGGTAGGTTTATTGTCTTATGCAGTATTGGAGATGTCGTCGAGGTGACTCTGAGAGTGTGGTTCAAGGGAGAAAGTTTCACTGGTTTTGTAGCACTGGTTTTTTATTTAGTTGAACTGAGTGTAATATTGGAGTACAGATGTCGAAGTGTCGCTCGTCTAAGAAAAACTGCCTCCTCTCTTCCGTTTTTCCTCCGTATTTAAAGGATTTTGTAAAGGAGTGGGGGAAAGGGAATTTGGGAGAACTGACGGCTGCAGAGATTTGGTAGGAATGTAGTTTTGTACTTTTGGAATTCCATCGTGGCGGTCCCTGAATTTTGGAAAAGGTGAATTTTGTCACCGAATGCATAAATTTGGTATCTAAAAGGAAAACTGGACAGCTAAAAGGAAAAAGGGATTTTCAGGATACATAATTTAGGTGCATAGATAGGAGGTTGTTTTAGGTTCGGAGAAAAGGCGGAAGATTAGAATGCAAATGAGATAAAAAGGGTGTGTGGTGATGCCTATCACGACATAGGTTGCATTCGCACTAGGTTTATTTTGCTGCGCGGGAACAGTAGTTTGCACACTTAACCACATGCGAGTGGCATTATTTATTTTACTTATTTATTTGTATATTGTGGGACGTTAAGAAAACCAAAGATCGACAAGAAGCCAGGTCCGGTCTTTATTTTTCTACACCCCCACTCTTGTACGCTGGAGATGCCGAGGTAAATATGTGATGGTATGTTTTTTCGTGAATTACTTCTGAACTAGTACGGGCCGTAGCTAATATAAAGGAGAGAAAAAAAATTGACAAGTTTTTCTTAGCGTGGCGGAATGCATTTGTTGTATTTTGGGTCCATACTTATAGGGATTTATAAGCGGTGGTAGGGGTAGTGACTCAGGGTTGAAGTTCACTCGGAGAAAACGGCAAGCTGGCGCTGGAGTGACGTGAAGACTGGCTTGGGGTCCATTGAGGGCGATATAACACTCAGAGTCAAGATCCGAGTATTATCGGGGATGACAAGTTGTTTTAATAAGGGAGCTGTGTCACACCATGTATGCGTCAGAAGTGCGTGACAATACGGGGACGGGACCGGACCGAGAAGTGTCGTATTAGTTGTTCGGACGTTTAGACAACAGTCTCATGGAAATAAGGAGAGCTTGGACCTGACAATATCTTGTTGCATCATTCTTTCTCGCTAACATTATACTTTTAAAAAATACAATAATGTAGGGTAGATGCGGATTTCCTGCATACGTTACGAGAATACGTACATGTTTGCGCGCGTGTATGTATGCGTGTGTTAAAGTCCGATTCGGACTTTCCAAAACCGATTTCTACCGTGTTGCACAATGCGAAAGAATCCCTAATTTCTACTCCTGCCTTTCGAAAAACAGATGACTCGAGGCAAGCGAGTCGAGCGTGTCCTCATCCGCGAAAGCAGACACTCCTAACGAGCGTGAAGTGTCAGAACGGCATAAACCTAAAGATGAGTCTGAGAAAATTATTTGTAACTTGTCAAAGGAGTGACCCTTCGCGATTCCTTGCAATAAACGTTTATATAAATTAGTGGCGACAGAAAGTGAATATATGTCTCTCGGTATTCCCAACCGAAAGAAAGGAAAGAATATTCGTAGGTAGCACGTGACGCTATAAAGTCAGTCTCGTTAAGAAACTACTTATGTGAACGCGAACGATTTAATAAATCATTTTAGAATTCATCATTCTGATAGGCGATGATCTTGAGGAATTGATTATCATTCTTTCCTCAACAGCACGAGTTCGAGTGCATTCCCTCAATGGTCGATGCGTCAATGCAAGAGCGTAGCTGGATCAAGGCTCAGCTATGACGCTCATCAAGGAACATTTGGCTTAATTGCTCTGTCTTGAACGAACAAGGCAAGATATTAAACTTACCGGAATTATTCGCTCGCCATGTTGCCGTAATCTTAATAACACCGGCAAAGGAAAACGAGCCTATATATTCGACAACATAATAAAGGCACTGACTAGGTACGTCTCATTTCGTCATAATTCAAATTCTAAATGGTCGCATCTTTCTGGTGTAAACCTCGCGGACGAGGGCCCCATAAGCTCTAATTCTAGATTGAGTTTAGACCCTGACTGTATATGATAAAACGAGGTTCATTTGGGTGGATCCTATCCGGTCCTCTCTCCCTCGATTCTGTACCGTCCTCAGTCGACATCCATCATATTTCGATTTTTGAAACTTTCGACTATGACCTCAAATAATGTTGGGAATTCAAGGACACCCATAGCACTCGTCACGTTGACACCTGAGAAACAAAAATGTGAACGTCACTTTAAAGAAACACATTCTCGATCACCTGTCGGACGCTATGTAGTTCTATTATCATTCAGATCGAATCTCGATTAGGAATATGGAGAAGTCACCGATTTCAAACCATCTTCGTCAAGACCAAATCAGATATAAGGAGTATTATGAATTCTTTTGCAAGCATGAGTCTCTTAATCATATGAGATTGGCAAGTCCCATTCAAAACCTATCCAATCACCCCATATATTACATACCTCATCATGCGATATTTCAAAAAACAAGTGAAACCACACGTTTTCACATTGTTTTTAACGCATCCCGTCGCACGACCAATGAAAAGTCATTCAACGACCACTTACTAAGTGGATCAAAGTTACAGCAGGAAAATTCCACTATTTTTATACAGCTAATATAGCCAAAATGTATAGATAGGTCCTCGAGGATCCTCAGCATCGAGATTTTCAACGCATCCTTTAACGTGACTCTCCATTCAATTCGGTAAAGGAGTACCAACTTCTCACAGTCATCTATGAGACAACTCCAGCCCCTTACCTAGCTTTTCGAGTTTTTAAACAGTTAATCGAGGACGAAGGCCCTAAGTATACGGACGTAATTTCCGCTCTTAATAATCAAGCGTATGTTGATGATTTCCTCCCTCGATCAAACGATCGAATTTCTCGCAAAAAATGGCTTTTCCTTGAGAAAATGAGTGAGTAACGACTCTACTTTATTGCCCGACATCGATCCAACTAATCACGGTCTCGATCGAAGTACTGTATCAATTTCAATTCCAAGCGTCAATCCCAGCGGATCTTGGTTCCATAAAACGTTCGATTCTTTCTACGACAGCTAAGATTTTCGACGTAATAGGATGGATTGCTCCAAAATCTTAATACAGCGGTTGTGGTCCTTATATTGCGATTGGGATAAAGTAATTCCTTGTGAAAACAAGATCGAATGGAGCAAATTTTGCGCAGTTATCGGAATCACAATACCTATCAATGCCCCGAAAAATTTCAAGGAAAATTCGACATAGCCAGACTCTGCATAGGTTTTCCGATGTTTCCATGACAGCATATGCAGCTGCAGTGTAGAATACGCTCTAAAAGCATTCTTCAGGACGGCATAGTGTGCGTCATCCTTATTATGGCCAAGTCTCGAGACGCTTCGGTTAAAAACATAAGCGACCCATAACTAGAGTTATGGGCAGCATTACTTCTCGCTCGTCTGTTAAATTTTATTCAAACCGTGTGGAACGAGCAGCCGATTGAGTGTCACTGTTGAACTGATTTCAGTGTTATTCTTACATAGGTGAGTCAGTCACCCTCGCACTGGAAAGCCTTTGTTGCTAATCGAGTTTCCAAAATCTAGGAGTTCATTCCAGGATCGCGGTGGCATCATGTTCCTAGCCGTTATTCGTTTTCGTTTTCAAAACTTCTCCGAAATGTTTTATAAACAATATCCAGGTTCGAAAAGAACAGAAGGACTCCCAAACACTTATCGAATCAAGATGGTCAACCAAAGCCTAGTCAGTCGTTTTGGAACCAGATGATTCATCTGTCTAAAAAGGATGCAATACAAGACTTTCCCAGAGGCACCTAAAGCCTTCGTTGCATCTGAGACAATTCGAAAATTAAGTCCCATCCTGTTAGTCACTCCATACCTAGACTTGGGCGGTTTAATTTGTGCAAGAGGGCGAAACTCACAACATACTGAAAAGGTAAAAATACCTATTATCCTACACTTTCATCTGCTCCTAACACACCTAATTGGGCATATACACTATAGATTATTACACACAAGTCCTCAGCTCACCCTCACGTTCTTACGTAACGAATATTGGATATTACGAGCAAGGACTATTATTCTAGCCGTTCTCTATAAATACGTAACGTGTACGCGTGAACGAGCTACTGTGCCTGAGGAGCTCATGGGAGACCTGCCAGCACCTCGCGTAACACAAGTGGAACGTCTATTTACACATACAGGTGTCGATTATGTTTTCACCCTAAAACCCTAAGTCAAGAAATCAAGTGTTTTACCTGCAGGTAGATCTTCAAAAATGGTTGCCTGCACCGACCGTAATAGTGATTAAGGGCGGATTGAGTACCGACCACCTGTATGATTTTCCATATCCACCGCTGATGGTCACCATTTCTAAAACCTCCACTCCGCTACTTCCCACTCTGGTACTTCCACTTTCCGTTACTTCTCACTCCAGCTATTTTCATCTGTTTCCAATCTGCCCCTACGAATAAAGTTTTCGTTATACATCTCCGCTACCCTGATACTATGGAGTCAGTTAGTTAATAAGGTGTGCGGACAAACCCAATGCGAAATTGTAGAGCCGCCAGGATTATAGACAGCGAGGACGAACCCAATGCGAAATTGTGGAGCCACTAGGTTGAAGAAATCTTTTCTTTTGGAGTAACTGTTGTCGTGAACGAACCTGATGAGATATCAGGGAGTCACTAGGATTGTTGGTAGACCTCGTAACAGTAGTAATCATAATTATTTGATATAACCCGAGCGGTAAGATTGTATCTGTGTAGAAACGTTCAATTGCTGAATTAGGGTTTTGGATGATAATTATGGGTTTTAGAGAATCGCGACGTTTTCAATATAACTCAATTATATTCTGCGACGAATTTAAAAGATTCTAAAAAGTATTAACTAAGTTTGCTCGGTGTTGACGCACTGGCAATGAAGGGTCTGAGAATAGGCAGAAAAGAATTGCTGACTAGAACTTTACCGGACTCGCGGGTTCTATAAGGTTAACTTGATTCAAAAGGAAATTTTAATCCGATCTCACTGGAATCGATTCTTATGAAACGACTTGACCGACTTCTGACTAGCGTGGACCGACGTAACGGCACGGAAGTCTTCAGTTTGAACCGATGTGAGTAATAATTGGTAGGTTTATATAACCCGAAAAATGGGCGAGAGTAGACGTATGACGCACTGACGCAGTTGCATTCCTGTTGCTTTTTCGAAAGGGTGCTACTGTTTAAATGAACTGACAAGGGGTTGTTCGTAGGCCACTTCTTACCAGAAACCGAAGAGTCGGGCGTAAAGCATTCTCCGCACGTAACACATAATTAAAATATACGTTAAATACAATGATGGAACCTTCCTTCTTAAACGTAAGTGAAAATGCACCGCTACACAGTATTAAAGAATCATTACGTTGCAATCGAAAAATTCTCGGTCTTTGAACTCTTGTAATGTTGCAATAAAAAGTCACGTAACATTCTGCTTGGACGCATTATAAAGCGTGAAGCTTCTAAATACTTACATATTTTTGCCTTTTCAACGTCATTTTTTCCTAGGATATTTTTGTTCTATATAACGGGTGGGAAAATAAACTTACTTCTTTGCTTCAAAAATTTTACTCTTGCTACTTATAATGTTATAGATACGAATTAAATGCTTCAGTAATTTACAGGTAAATAATAAGTTACATATTCATTGTTAGTATAAGTATTGAAAATGGCCGGTTTGAAGTACAGTACACATCTCAGTACACAATCTGAAATGTTTAAATGGAGATAATACTGTAAGATGAATTTCATTTGAATTTACCTCAGAGCAAGTTTCGAACATTTTTTCATGCTCTAAATTTTATGGCAAGTGTGTCTAAAAAACTGTTTAGAACTGCTCATACACAGAACCTTGGGCAGTTTTTTGAGTAGAGGTAGTGGAGAACGCTGCTTTCGAGTTACTAGGGTGAGGGGAGCAAGTTAAACATCTCTGTTTTATATATATATATATAATATGAAAGACATGTTAATACGAAAGGTGCCTATTATGTATAACGTACAAAACACGTGTCACTTTCGGCGCGTACTTCGGCGTCTTTGGACGCGAGAATGTAAACGTGTACGCGAGTGCGCTGAACACATCGTACAAAGTACTTCATGTTATTCACAAGAAAAGTCTTGAAAGAAATGCGGATATAATTAGTCAGCTTTCATCTTTTCTTATTTCATTTTCGATACTAATTTGTAATTTGTCAATATTGTTACAGGTAACCAATCAGAACTATAAACAAAACACACAGCGAGAGACCTCTCCTGTCCCTGCGCTGTCACAAGGGTTATCTCAACAACGCACAGTAGGCAGCGCAGAGTTTATGCGATAGTGAAGAAGAAAACACGGGGTACGCGATACAAGGTTAATGATCAAATGAGTCTTTTCTCTACAAACAATTCGTAACTGTCCGTTATTCGTGAACGTTTCGATTTTGTAATTGTGTTTAAGTGGGATTTATGATTTTGAGAAATTATTAATCAAATTGCAATGTTTTGAATAAAACAGTTATTAGATGAATTTCATGTGTCTAATAACATCCGATTACTATTTTTGACTGGTATTTTGAAAAACCATTTTGTAAGAACATCATATTAGAATGTCTTTCACCTACCACATTTTTGTAAGTATAAGGAAAAGTAAGAAAAAATGGATGTAAAATTTAAGTAAAATACATATAAATTAAGCTTTATTAATACAAAATAATGTAACATTTCTGGAAGTTCATAATAGTTGTATATTTCGAAAAATTAAGTGAAGTATCATAGTGTATCGAAAAATTTAAATATTGATTTTGGCATTGATATTACCCGGTTAAATTTTAATGAAATCTGTTGGATTAAATTTTAACAAACCATCCTCACTCTTCTCCCACCACTCACTGCTTTGAGCTCAGTGTAATTTGATCTCAGTGGACAAGGAAAGTAAATGAATACAAAGAGTGGACGGGAAACGGACATAGTTTAATATGGAGCCGCGAACGTAAACAACAATCATGCAGTGATGAAAATTTTAGTTTCACTAATTCCAGTTTTATCTTTTCAAATGCAGTATAACTGGTTTATTGAGATTCTTCTGATAAAAATGAGTCCAATCACGATGTAAATCGGTCTAGTTTTCGAAGAAATGAATTTTCAATTTCGGTAACTACATTAGGTCGGTAAAATTAGTCCCATTTACATCGCGTTTAAATTAATGAAATTAATATTTTTGTTATTGCATGTTTATGTTTCACTTTCTCGGTATTCCTTCAAAGTGACGAGATTTGACCGTTGATGCTCGGCGTACTGTATCTATCTCGCTTCTTCTCATTATATCCATTCTCTGACTTTGTCAAGTTGTGCTCGAGACGTTTTTTGAAAGAACGCTTCCCTATTTGTAAGAAATTTAATTATGGGTCTTGAAATTTAAAAATTTAGGCGAGCACTACTGCATAGGATTTTTACAGTAGGACAGCGAAATATGTCTTCCGAATAAAGTAATAGTTTATAAACATTTTTATTTATTTTATGGTATATTTTAATGCATAAATTTCTTCCAGGGTGTCCATAAATTTTGAATTGGATTCAGATCAGGACTATTTTTTGGACATTCCGTATATAGTTGATATGTCTTATTGTTGTAAGTAGTTTTCAAATTGTTCAATCTTATGATGATTTACATGACTGTAATGAAAGATAAAGTTATCTGAATCCCTGGAGTACCGATCCAGGATCTGTATCAAAAACTTTTTAAATGCACGAATATATTTCCTATTAATTGAATAATGTTTAAATGAATAATAATATTTTTAAGTAGAAAGCATTTGCTCAATACGTTGAGTTATCATACAGCTCTATACCATCTATAATTGTGGATACTTTTTTTTAATTCAAACTAGCTGTATTAAACTTTTTATTAACTATTTTATAAAGAAAGTATTCGAATGTTAAAGAAAGGTTGATTAAATTTTGAAATACAAACACATTGCTTTCTTTGTAAACTCATAATGTTACTTAATTTTGTCGAGAACATTGGTCTGTTCTATATTTGTTTCTAAATACTCAGGCATTTCATGTCAATTATTTTTGTTGCTTTTATTCTAAAATAGCCCCATGTAAAGATACGTGACTTTCATATTTGACCTCTTGTATGGTACCTTGTATATAAAAAGTTTCGAAATTTTCGCAAGTTTCTCGTCTTTACGTTTGGTTCGAAACTTTTAGCCAAGGATAATACAATAAAGTTTTATAATATTGATATTTATATATCATAAATTATTAAAAATAATTTTTATGCAGCGGTGATTTAAAAATGTCAAATTATCAATTAATTAGTGAAAGTTGTAATTAAGAATTAAAAGTTTCAAACATTTTTTTCAGATATATGTCTTGTACATAATATACTATGGGCATATTGTTTCTATGTTTATTACCTTAGCTAGATGCTGTTTTATTGTATAGTTTGTTTGATAATATAAATGTTGAACTCAATTTTCTTAATATAGTATTTTAGTATGTCTGTCCTTTGTTATCAAACACCTCAATTGTTTATAGATATGTTATTACCAAGTTTATATTTTATCGTTTGTTTCATTTCAGAATACTATTCTGTCAGAAGCTGTACATTTCTGGAAACGAGCATTATGGTCCGTGAAACGAAGAACATTGTTAGATTGAGCAGGTAGTATATAACATTAACTTTTTCTAAAGTTTGATTGCCTACACATATAATCACATTTATATTCTCCTTACATGCAAACGATGTGACAAAATACAAATTATAATTGTAGAAGCGTAACAGAATCTTAACCCGTTAGTTACCAGGCTCTCGAGGAATATCGACCACCACAGAGCAGATATTTTATTGTTATAACATGACATCAATTGTCATTTATTTTGAGGTAACGAAATCAATTGTTGCTGAAGAATCAGAAACTGTAGTTATCCGCAGACAAATATCATATTTAGTAGGGTCCGTTGCAGGAAAAAGGGCATGCGGGAGCACGCAGGGGCAAGAAGGGTCGCTGTGTGTTTCACGTAATGCAACAGAATTAGTACACTCGTCCTCTATTTACGCAAGCTTCTTATTTACGCGGTAAATTATAATACTATAATTATTGTGGTATTAATGGTATTTAAATATGTTTTATTTTTAAAGAAACATAGGAATAGATAATTGAATAGAATACAAATAAATAGAAACGATATAGCTCGCAGTGTGTTCAGCGCGCACAATGATTTTTAAACTTCAAATTTCAAAGTTAATAATATGTAAGCTTCGAGCGGTAAATTAATTGCACTCGAATATTTGGGGTTGGTGCAAATCAGTCCACACTTAATTTTAAAAATAAAATTTACTATTGAACTTAATGTTGAGCGTCGCAGTAGGTACGGCGAATGCTCTGGCTCAGTTTCAGATTAGTGATGCTGAGTCTGAATGAAACGATGAGATTTTAGATGAGTTGTAAGTGAATCGATATTGATACGTTGAGTTGTGGAATTCTTAGTTAGAGATTCCGTTGATACGTGTTGTTTTTGGAATTCTTAGTTAGAGATTCCGTTGATACGTGTTGTTTGTGGAATTCTTAGTTAGATATTCAGTTGATACGTGTTGTTTGTAGAATTCTTAGTTAGAGATTCCGTTGATGCGCAGAGGTTGTGGAACTCTTGGTTAGAGATTCCGTCGATACATTGAGTTTGTGCTTGTGGAATTCTTCGGTAGATATTCCGTCGATGCGTTGAGTTTGTGGAATTCTTGGTTAGAGATTCCGTCGATGCGTTGAGTTTGTGGAATTCTTGGTTAGAGATTTCGTCGATGTGTTGAGTTTGTGGAACTCTTGGTTAGAGATTCTGTCGATACGTTTTGTGTATGGAACTCTTACTTAGAGATTCCGTCGATGCGTTTAGTTTGTGGAACTCTTCGGTAGACATTCGGCGTGTTTTGCTAAGTTCTACTCTGAAATATGTTGCTGTAAGGGTAGCGTCGGGGGATGAGACACGCGGATTGGTTGTCTCCTACAGTTCTAAGTTTTGGACAGGGAGGAGGCCGTTTTTTCTGATTGGTGACAGTCACCGGAAAGTTGACCGCCTCCAAGTCCATCGGTCACTTGCAGGTATCGAGAGTACCTTCGCGTGACGTCATGGAAATTCCGCGTGCCTCGACCGTAGCAGGTAAAAAACTGTATGAAGCGCCTTAACCCTAATAAAACATGCAAAGAGTAAATATCCAAAATGTAAAAATGCTAATCCTCGAACAGCTGAGGGTGGTTGTTAAAAGTGATGGTCGATGGCTTCATAAAGTTATTCGAGCTACGATCCCTTGAAAGATTTAGAGGACCGATGCGTAACGGTGTTTCGGTTTCTGACACCGCGTGTCAACATGCCGCCCCCCTTGAACGGCTTGTTCAATAATTTTACGATACGCTTAGTAATTACATGATACCCGATAAGTCCGCTGTGTATATACGTTTGATTGCATAATGGTATAGAAATTATTCACGCTACTTAGGCTAGAAAAGAAAAGATATACACCTTAAATAGGCCTTAGAGTATACAACATGCGAAGTTCTGAACGTAATTAATTTGACGATACACATGTCTTTAGATTAGAGAAAAAGTTCGATTGTACTTGTTTACGCTTAGAACTATAGATCATACTAGTAGTAGTCCTTTAAGATTCTACTGGTAATGGAGCGATATGTTTTACTGATCGTTTATATTCTCTTCGGCTGGTTCTCACTGTCGCCACACGAATGATCCCGTCCACGCCAGGATGGATTGCTGTGACTCGTCCTAACGGCCACTGCATTGGCGGTGTGCCGTCTTCTTGAACCATGACCAATGTTTCCACTGGCAGATGCTGGACCTTGCTGGAATGCCATCTTTTTGCGGGTGATGAGCTCCTGCAAATATTCTGTTCGCCAGTGCTTCCGAAAGTGTTGGCGCATTTTCTGAATGTGTTGCCATGACGAAAGTCGTCCGTCAGGCAAGTCGGTCATATCGTGGTCAGGCACGCTCATCAAAGACCCGCTAATTGAGAAATGACCTGGAGTAATTACGGTTAGATGGTTTGGATCGGATGAGATCGGAGTCAGTGGACGGGACTTCAATATGGCTTCGATTTGGTTAGTAAGGGTGAGACGGCCTTCGAAAGATAATAACGTGTCCCCGATTACGCGTGTCATATGGTGTTTTGCGGATTTTACTGCCGCTTCCCGTATACTACCAAAGTGTGGCGATTTCGGAGGAATGAAATGCCAATTGATATTTTGATCGGCGAGTGATTGCGTTATTAGCGTATTATTGGCTGGATTTGCTAAAAACGTATGCAGCTCTGTTAGTTCGCGGTTCGCGCCCACGAAGTTCATCGCGTTGTCTGAATATAGATCTCGTGACATACCGTGCCCCGGAAAGAATCGTTGCAAAGGCGTCCGTCGTTAGATTGGATACGATTTCGATATGAACTGCTTGCGTCGCGAAACAAACAAAGATGGCCAGGTAGACCTTGATTCTTCCACGATTACGTTGGATTTTTTCTTTTATGAAAATTGGGCCACAAAAATCAACTCCGCATTGAAAAAATGGTCGCGCTTGTGTGATGCGACTGGTGGGGAGATCACCCATCGGATAATTAATGATTGCCGGTTTCGCACGACGACAGGTGACGCAATTGTGTATTACTTGACGCACCCATCCCCGGTCATGAGGTATCCAAAATGTTTTCCGCACGGCACTTAGGGTTGCTTGTGTGCCCGAATGAAGGTTCCTAATATGTTCATCCCGAATATGACTCGAGGATCAAGGTATATGGATGAGTCAGTGAGAGTTTTAGGCGGCTGAAGATAAGATAGAAACAGAGGAAAAATAGGAAATATTTAGGGAAAGGATAACTGTCGCGAGGATGACTGTCACACAAGGGAACATGTTTGTATGACTGTGTCACAGCAGGCTGTCATCCAACACCTCCCCTTATTAAGATTGAAGACTTTGACAATAGGAAAGTCTTGTTTGTACCGTATCAATCGGTGTCATTTTCCACTTTGGCCATTGTCTCTCGTCTTCAAGCAGCCATCTTGGTCCATTTTGCCAGATTGACGGATGTAGAAATTCCTTCGGAGTCAGACCTCGGGAGATCAGATCTGCGGGGTTGTCCGCAGTCGGTACACGGCGCCAATCCGTGTTCTTCGTTCTTGTGTGGATTTCAGATATCCGATTGGCGACAAACGTTTTTAAATTGTGAGGCGAACTGTGTATCCAATGAAGAACTATTGTGGAATCTGTCCAGAGAATTACTCGATTGATTTCGACGTGTAAGGCTTGTTGGATTGTTTTTATGACTGACGTCAGAAGAAGCGCTCCGCACAATTCGAGTCGCGGGATGGTCTGGTATTTAATGGGTGCTACCTTTGACTTTGCCGCGAGAAGTTCGACTTGCACGCGGCCGAATGCGTCGATGGAACGGAGATATACACAGGCTCCGTGTTGGGGTCGCGGTCTATCCCGTGAATGATTTAGAAATCGCGACTTAGCGAAAAGAGTGGATTGTATTTGAACAACTTAGTCGGGTTACAAGTTTTCTAAGTGTGACTCTCCTAGTCGGTGGTTCCTTTGCGAATGAATTTTGAACTCGCAAGTGTTTCTCAGCTCCCCCTTGGAATTTGCAATTGTCCACTGATTGGTTCTTCCAATTTTTGGAAAAGTCCAATCAGCAAACCTAGGTTAGAAGACACACCTTCTTTTACGCCCTCGGCGTGTTTCCTTGAGGAAGGGGTCGCGAGATTTTCCAAGGGGGGAGAGACGCTAGAATTCGGCAGTGGTGGGCGACACATCTGGTCAACACCAGAGACGGTTTCCTGACCCTGCATCGGCCGCGGAAACCGTTGGGTGACCCATGGTTCTCGCTGACATGCTCAGGCCGTGAAGGTTTACAGCAGGGCAGTAACTATTGAGACGAACGGAAAATACGTGCAAGAAACTAAGGGTATCTACAAATGCTATGACAAAAGAGTAAAAATTGTAAAGAGCGTACCATCCGGCGAGTGTCGTCCAGATGGCAAAAAAAAACTAAATTAACGAATTCTCAAAAAGAACTGTGCTTCTAAACACTGCCATAAACCCCGTACAAATCGGCCCGAACATGCCGCCCACCTTAAACGGCAACGTTCAAAGAAAACGTCGGTTAATTACCTAAATGTGCTTGATACAATATTATTGACCTTATTCTAGCTTATCTATAAAATGAGTAAAGGTGAGAGTCTTTTGATGCTTCGTGTGTAAGTGCCAGTTGTGGTTTGCACGGTAGCCACGCGGGCAGTTCCATCTTCTCCTGGATGAACCTTGACTATTTGTCCAAGTTGCCAATGCAGTGGGGGACTACTATCTTCTCTGATAGTCACTAAGGTTCCTTCCTTGATGAGCGTAGTGTCTCCGCTGTGCCATTTGTTTCTGGTGTGGAGCTCCTGTAAATATTCTCTTTGCCACCGGTTCCAGAAGTGCTGTTTAATCTTCTGGATGTGTTGCCAGAGTGATAATTTATTTATTGGCATATCGACAAAATCATGTTCCGGTAGGCTGGTCAACGAATCACCGATAAGGAAGTGGCCAGGGGTTAGAGCCAGGAGATCGTTGGGATCAGAGGAAAGCGGTATTAAAGGACGAGAATTCAAAATAGCCTCTGTCGGAATGTAGAGTGTTATTTAATATTCGCGACAAATATGTTTACAAGTTATTTATTTGCGTAGATGAGTGTTCGGAGGCAGAACGGGGTAATGTGTTGTAATGTAATGTAATGTAATGTAAAAGGTGTTTCCTCGCGCCTTTCCGCTTTATTTATCCTAGTCTTCGGAAAGGCGTTACCCCTTAGAAACTTCGAGGGTGGAGCTAGTTCCCTTCTCCAACGTCGCCTCGATTTTTTGGTAGGGGAAAAATTGTGCATTTCTAATTTGTAATGTTTTTTCCGAGCTGCGCTGACCGTGCGGCCGAAGAAGCCTTAACGGGACATGGCTGGCAGCGTTTATGGTAGGGTAGCCTATTCAGCTACGCACGTGTAAAAAGTGTAAAATATTTTCGCCGACTTACAGACTTTAGGGTAGGCTTAATTGCCTATATCTAAACGTCTGTAAGCGGTCAATGCTATTTCCTACCAACGCTGCGAGCCACGTACCGCTACAGCCTCGATCTCAACTATTAACGTATAAAATTGTTCATATGTA